GAAGCATGATGGCTCAGCTGGATCAGTTCCTGGATCCTTGACGGTTACCAAAGCTCTGTACAAAATAAGGCACAACTAGTTTACTCATCTTACAGATAGAAAACTGAAACAAAGAGGAAATGAGGTCAGAGACAGGGGAGCTGCTACTGAGAAGAGTTGCCTCACTTCATTATCTAAGGATTACTGAGGGTTTTAGAAACAATAATTTCTGTACTGTTTCTCAATTACAAGGTGTTTTATGTTCCCCGTCTAATTTATCACAGTGTGTTTGCCAGTTCCCAGCTCTCAGCGGAGCCTGATATTCATGGGATGGATGTCCACAAATATTCAAACTTATCCAGGGGAAGTTTCTGTGAGGAAAGTGAAAAGGCATTTTGGGCTGAAGCGAAGACCTCACAGGGCTCAGAAACAGGAGGCCTGGATGTGGCCTAAATAGGGAAAGAACATGAAGAGACAAAAGTTGCTGCAGGTGGAGAAGCTGAGGTAAAAGTGGGCCCAACTGGAAGAATTAATGTATGTTAGGGCTGCCATACATGTCCTGGTTTACTTTTTGAAATATGGCAACCCTAATGTATGTGGGGCCCAGGCCATGGAGGACAGGAGGCAGGCTGGCTGAAGGAGGGAGTAAAGACCTGAGGGAAGAATGGGCAAATGAGGGAGAAAGAAAAAGGGATTAAGTTAGGACAGAGCTGAGGGAAGAAAAGGTCAACAAAAGGAGAAGGAAGCAGTGCAAATTCCAAGCATAGAGCTGAGGCGGAGAAATTTGAAAGTGAGGCAGGGACACTGAATTGGAGGAAAGTATTGGCCATGTTCCTGACATCATCCACGAAGAACGAGAGAAGTAGGTATGCATCTGGGCAAGGACAAATGCCAATTAGCTTCAGCAGTGGTTATGAAACTATGGCCCATGGCCTAGGGAGCCTGAGCAGGCCCAACTCCTTTTTGTGAAGCCACAAGGCAACACCACTTGGCCTGATCAGGCTCCTTGATTAGAAATAACCAGCTTCATTGTTGGTTGTGTTTCTCATGAGCACTTAATACAAACTGAAGTGGGCAGAGTGGTCCTGTGCAGAGTTGCTCTGCTTTACAGCAAAAGTTCTCAAAGATACTTCTTTAGGGATGAATAAGCTGTTGCTGGAGAGCTGCTACTTTTCCTTTTCCTTCCAATGGAAGGGTATGTGCATTACTGAGGTGGTGATGTGAAGCAGTATGAGCATGTAAAAGCGCTCTAAAAATATTATGTATGATTATCATTATCCAGTGTGTCAGGAAGCAGTGTGAAACACACACACACACACACACACACACACACACACTGTGTCAGGAAGCAGTGTGAAAACACACACACACACACACACACACACACACACAGTGTCAGGAAGCAGTGTGAAAACACACACACACATCCAGCAGTTCAAAAACACACACACACATCCAGCAGTTCAAAAACAAGGAGTGTTCCTCCTTATTCCTGTTGTGTCTGCTATCTGTCCCTGAAAACAATGGAGCAGATTTTCATTTCCTGCAAAAAAAAGTTGCAGGGTGAGGAGGACTGACATAAGATCCATGTAGCTCCTGAGAACATAAGAAGAGCCCTACTGGATCATGACCCATCTACTTCAATATCCTGTTCTCAGTAGTTGACTGTGGGAAGCCTGCCAGCTGGACATCAGCACAAATCCATTCTGCCCACCTGTGATTCCTGGCACCTGGCATTCGGAGGCATGATACCTCTGAGAAGGTAGAACATAGTCCAAATTGTTGGCCATCACCAAATCCCCTAGGAGTGGATTCCATAGTTTAACTGTGTGCTGTGTGAAAAAGTGCTTTCTTTTGTCTGTCCCGAGTTTTCCAACACCTCCCATTTCTCCTTTTTTTGGTTAGCCACATTTTAACCCTGCCTAAGGTCACCAGGGAATGCTGCCCAGCAAATCATTGTAATTGCTTGTGCTTCTAAGAAGCTACCTAACTGCACCAGACCACTGGTCCAATTACAGCCCAGTATTGCCACCCTGAACACTTTTGGAAGGGCAAGATAGAAATTCAATAAATAGATAAAAAATACTCTGACCCAGAAACTCCAGCAGCTGTTCCCCTTAACTTAGGGGCACTCAGTGATGATCAAATTTGAGCACCTAATTGTGTAAGGGCTCAATGCAGCACTTTCTGTCTCTGCTTTGGACTGCACTATCCCACAGTAGTTTCAGAAGTGATGTTTAAGTGACCTGCCCAAGCTTGTTCGAAAAGACTGTGGCGAAGGAAGCCTGCAAGTGCACCTTTCCCTAGTTGCAGATTTGCTGTTAATATTTTAGCCTGCTTGGTCCAAGACGTTGCTATGCAGCAAGTTGGCCAGTTTCCTGTACACCCCCTCCCCTCATTTCCACTGTGCCTGCCTGTTCCTGGATGGCGAACTTCTCAACACACACACACACACAAGACTCATCAGGACAGTTTTCTCCCTGCAAAACATCCTACACATTAGTAGCGCTATCCTAAACAAACGGAAGACGGCGATGGCCTTGGGCCCCACAGCGCCCTTTCTTTCTCTCTCCCCCCACCTCTGCCTGACTAGATTCTGACGGAGGAGAGTTTTACTGAAGCCGAGGACGTGGGGTTTTTTTTTTCTAGAAAAAGGAAAGAAAAAGAAAATAATAATAAACTGGCGATCTCGGTTCCCTCAGCACAGGCTCCTTGAGGACAGATCTGTGGCGAGGATTGCAAGGTAGAATGAATGAACCAATCAACCACTCCCGTCTTCAGCCCTTCTGGCGGGGGCTCCCGCTGCACCGGGGAGGGGGGTGCGTGGCGGGGGCTTGCCCCGCGAAAGGTTCGGTTTGCCTGGCGGGTCTAATGGCCGCTTGGCGAGGCAGGTTGCACGGAGGCGCGCGGGGGTGGGGTGCGGGTGGGGGTGGGTGACACAACTGCATTCTGCTCTCACAAGCCGAGCAGGGGCTGCAGCAGGAAGCGGGAGGGTGCGCCGCACGGCTGAGGCCCGCCGCTCCTGACCGATGTCAAGGCACCGAGCCTCCTGTGGAGGAGCTGGCAACGGGGCGCGGACGGGGGAAGCTAGGGCGCTCTTTCCGAGCTCGGGCCCCCCGGGATCGGGGATCGGCTCGCCTTCTATGGTTGATCTCGTTACGCTCCCGGCCGCGTTGCCACGCAAAAGACGGTGCGGCGGCGGCAGCCCAAAGCAGCTTGCTCTAGGGAAGAGCGCGGACGCCGCGTTCTAGCTGGCCCTGAAGACCGGCTAAGGGAGCCAGGAGGTGGGGGCGTGTGGAGGGCCGGCCTCGCAGTGCCGGGGGGAAAAGGGAACAGTGGGCTTCTTCCCTCCCGGGGCGAGAGCAGCTGCACCCAACCCGACGCGGGAGGAAGAGGAGCGTGTGGGAGGCTCCCTTCCAAGCTCGCTGCTGGGCTAGTCAGTGGCCAGGGGCTGCACCCCAGCCTTCCCCGCTCTTGGCGGATCTGGGGGAGCGGCCTGGTTTCCCTCGGCGTCGAGGGGAATCGGCCTCCTCAGTTGCGCCCGGGACGCGGGTCGGCCCTGCCGTCGCCCCTCACGCACTGACACACACACACACACACACACACACACACGAGCGGACGGAGCTTTTCTTCCTTCGTCACCCCCATTGTTGGCTGGAGATAAGGGAACAAGCTGACCCGTCCAGTCTCCCCTGTTGTTTGGGCGGGAATATGGGGCTGGCCTGGCTTCGTCCTTCGGGCTCCCAACTTCAGTGGCCGAGGAACCCTCCCCGTTTCCCTCTCCCCCGTTAGAGAGGGGGACAAGGCTTGCGAGGTCGCTTAGGCTCCCAGGACCCCACCGTGCCTGAGGTGAAAAGCAGCTTAGCCCCAGGCGCACCATGTGCCTGGGAGAGGACACCGAGGCAGGACTAAGCCCGGTTGGCTGCTGGTCACGGGGCGTCTGAGGGGCTCCCCCTCCCCTCCTCTGGGCTGGCAAAGAGAGCGGCGGCGGCGGCTGCCCAGCGGGTGGGTGGGCGAGCTCCACATCCACCATCTTTGCTCGCTCCTGCTCTCTGCTTGCAGCGCTTGGCGGGGGAGCTAGCAGAGGCCTGGCCTCGCAGGCGGCGCCCTGCCGGGGTGGCTTGGTACGAAGCAAGGCTGAGGGGAAGGATGGTGCTGGGCGCTGGCAGCGAGAGAGGCAGGGCTTGTCCAGCGCGGGCAGAGAAGGGAGCTGCGGCGCCATGTGCAGTGGGAAGGGAGGGAGGCCGAGGCCAGGCCGGGCAGGACGGCAAAACGACGCCAGCCCTTTGGAACAGGCTGAGGAGCCCAGGGCAAGGAGCAATAGGTGGGGCAAGGGAGGGGCGGCCGCCCTGAGCGCTAGGGGGCGTCCGAAGGCGCAGGGGCCGCGTAAGTGCCCCAAGGAAGGGGGGAGGCCATGCGCAGCGACGGGCAGACGCGCACGCGCGCGCTGATTGGACAGCGCAGCCCTTCGCTGGCGCTGCTGCTGCTGCTGAACCCCAAGAGTCAGTGAGGGGGCGCGCGCGGGCGCGCACAGGGGACAGCCGCGGGGGCGCGCGTGCAGCAGCGTCGCGCGGGCGCGCGCGGGCGAGGAAAGGAGCTAGCAAGCGAAAAGAAGCTGGCAGGCAGCTGGGCTGGAGACGGAGCTGGTAGGGACCGGAGGAGCCAAGTCGGCTCTTTCCTTTGGCCCTGTGCAAGGGTGGGGGAAACAGAGTCCGACAGGTAAACTGCAGGAAAGACTTTCCTGTTCTCCCCCAAGGCGGAAACTGGTGTCTGCGGGCAGATTCCACCCGGACATTGCAAGGGCGCCGCAACCCTCACCCGGAGGGCCTCTGGAAACGGGGTGGGGGTGGGGCAAGGCACGCCAGCCGGTGTCTCGGGCCTAGTGCAGAAGCCGGGTGGTGGCAAACGGCGGCCGGGGTGGGGGCGGGGGCGGAAGAGGATGAAAGATCCAGAAGCCTTTCCTGGAGCGATCCCTGCTCAGCAGCTGCAGATCTCTGAGAGGCGGGGGCGAGGAGGTAGGGGGAGAGTGCGAGGAGCCAGGCCAGGCCAGGCCTGCTCTGCTGCGCTCCCTGCAACCAGCAGCGGCAGGATGGATGCTGCGCTATTGTGAAAGGCGACATTTGGCTGCGCCGATCAGGAGGCAATGTTGCCTGGGTAGCTGCGGGCCGGTGGAAGAGGCATGCAGCCGGCTCGGTGCAGGCTCTCTGCGGCCCCAGAACCAGGAGCGGGAGGCGTTTGCTGGGCCTCTGCCGCCGCCGCCGCCGCGGAGGAGGAGGAGGAGCAGCAGCAGCAGCAGTAGTAGAAGTGGCTGCCATTTTGGAGAACAAGGCCCTGGAGGGTTTGCCTGACCCCATTGTTGCTGTGTTTGCTTCACAGGTTGATGCCCGCCGCACAGGATGGATCAGGCCTGCGAAGTGAGCAGGAGGGGCTACCTGCCCCCCTTCGCCAGCCCTTTGGCGTTAGATGTGCCGGAGAACGGGGACGGCCCTTACGGGGGGGAGGGTCAGAGCCGAAGCCCCGAGCCACCTAATGGGTGCACCATGCAGTCAAAGGCTGCTGCTGCTGCTGCGCCCTATGGCCCAAACCCTTCCCCCTGCTACATCCCGCTGCGCAGGCTGCAGGATTTGGCCTCCATGTTCAGTGCCGAATATTTAAATGGCTCAAAAGATGGCTCTGATTGTTTGCAGGAAGTTGAAAGGAGCGACTCCAGCGCGGAGCTCTGCGATTCTTCAGTCTTAACCGACTCAGAAGACTTCACCCGGCATGACTCGGCAAGACTCCTGGATTTTGATTCCATCTCTCCTTGCTTGGAGGACGACCCGGAGGTGGATTCCGAAACATCATTCCTAAAAGCAGATGAAAGCCCAGAAGAGGAAAGTGAGTTTATGATGGAGGACAGAGACACCGGCACCTACAGTGAGGAGGGAGAGCCCGAGGATGGGATGGAGCTGATTGAGGAGATCCAAGGAGGACGCTCCATAGAAATTAGACACAATGAGACAATGTCTACCTTGTTCCCAATCGGCTTTCCTCGAGAGCAAATACAAAGTAACACTTGCAAAGAGGCTGCAGTAGGAAATAGAACTGAAAAACTAGACCTGCGCCCAGTGTCTTATTTTCCTGGAGATACAGATTTAAAAACAGAAAAACAGTGCAGCATTACGAAGAAGGTATCTGAAAAAGAAAATCCAGCCCAGGGTCCCATCACTCTAGGAAACTTGATAGAAAGGCTTGAAACTTCAATTACTGCAAAATCATCAACCTCAGCAGCAGCAGCATTGCCACCTGTAAGCAGTCTTGGGGTACCCGTTAAGTTCTCTGCAAATTTATTTATGGGGAAATGTTCTACATGGTGTTCCTCTGGTCTGTTGCTGTTACAGAGAGAGCGAGAGTTGGAGGTGGGTGGAGTTAACAGGTTGTAGAGTTTCCATGTGTTTTGTTTCATTTGCAAAGCAAAGTGCAGATAATTAAAGGAAGGTAGTTTGAACAAGAGCTTTGAAAACAACTTGTTTTGTGGTCCTTCTGCCTGGCATACAATCCTAGAAGTTGACACAGTGAAAAAAATTCCTTATCACAGAAGCTGAATTGAATATAATTCCCCTCCACACATTTGAATATAATTCCCCTGAACACATGACTTGTCATCTTTCTCTGCTGGTTGTAACAAGAATTAAGATTTGGTAACTTTATAAAAGTGTTTGAAAACATGCACCCCTCACAAACTCCTGCTCCTTATACTTACTTTTTGCACTGTTAGCTGAAATGAGGTACTGTATTTAAAAAACCCCAACAACTATGATAGCTGGAAAGCCAAAACATTATTCAGATAGAAAACCTGCTCTTCAGTTTTCTTTTTCAGCAGATTCTTAGTGGTTTTCTTTTTAAAAAAATTACAGTTGCATATTCTAAAAAGGTTTAGTCTTTGATTTCTGGCTGTCTTTGTAAGGTTAATAGGGCTGTTTCCCACAAGGTAATAGTAAGAAAATGTGTATACTCTTGTGCATAGATTTTTCTTGATGCATGTGCACTCTTTAGAAACTTGCTATCAGTTGTGGTTTTCAGTGCATCAGTATTACACCTATATATATATATATATATATATATATATATATATATATATGAATGAGAGATAGCAAACCTTAAAATGCACATGCATTGCATTTTACACGTGGTGTGGAATGCATATGATAATGCAAGCAAGTGTTTACATATTATGTCCTGGTATACATTTGCAGTTAAGATAGCATGTGTGAAGTGGCCTCAGTTAAAACAAAACACTCCATTACTAAAATGAGATTTCATTTAATAGTTTAAGTGAAAAGTGTGAAGACTTGCATTGTTTTCTCTTTTGCAGAATGAACTGGTGCATGCAGAGTATTTTTTTATGGTTCTGAATTCTTTTAAGAGGAGAACTGAGGTGTGTTTGTTGACTTTTAATGGTGGTGATAATGGCCTGGTTTGTACATAAAGCTAAACAAAGCCATGGTGAAATTTCAGTATGTTAATATGTTCAGTAAAAAAAAATATGTGGCTAGTTCTCCCTTGATCTTCCTGATGGTGTGCTACTGAAATTAAGCCATGGTTTGGCTCAGCATTATATCTTAATCTGGGTTTGTGGTTTGTCTGAGGAAGAAAAACTGTGAGTCTGAATTTGGAAATAACGGTAAATTAATCTGTACCTTAATCTCCAGGTAGTGTGGCAGTAAGAAGACCAGGCCATAATTATTATTCTGAGTGCTTGCACATTCACACTTAGCAATGATTTGGCTTAGAGTTGCATGCGAACTGGGCCTACTGTAGTTTGAGAATACTTCAAGTCAAAAGACTTGCATTCAGGTGTAACTTTGCAAATAGTGCATAAAGTTGCAGTCCTGTGTACATCTACCTGGGAATGCACACAGTGGAACTGATTTCTAAGTAAACGTGCGTAGGATAGTGTTGTGAAATTATTTTCACAACATTTGTGAAACAACATGTTGGAAAAGTCTACTAGAATATTGTGTACCATGGCAAAAATATATATGGTATTGTAGAACTTTAAGTGTTTTGTGCAGTTACATTAGAATTTACCTGGCTTTGGTATTTCAGTTACTGAGAGACCTCTTTCCAAAATAATGCCACTGTCACATCTGATATTATTTCTACTGATAGTTACTAATTCCAGAGTATTGCATAAAGTATTGCCTAAATGTTTGTGGAGCAGATAGCATTGTGCAGGTGTTAACACACACATGTGCACCTGAATACTGTACAGAGAAGAAATGGGTTGTATCCAACTTAATATCTGAATGCATGGAACAGCTTCCAGAAGTGCAACAGAACTTTTACTTCTTTCTCCTCCCTTACTGCATCCTCAACCCTCTGGAGTTTTCCCCAACACTCTGGAGTAGATTTGGGGGTGGTGCAGGGGTAAGAGATGGAGGGGAAATTATGGTATGTTGCACTCACAAGAGTCATTCTGCATGTGCAGTGATTTAGCTAAATGCAACCCAATGTTTTTTTTATTAAGGATATTGTCCCATTAAAGAAATCTTAATATGATCTGAGTTTAAGCCTATTACTCTAGCAATTAAATTTGCATATATGTAAAACGAATGGTTCTGAGGCTAGCAATGTAGGCATTGGGTGATATCCAACTAAGTCATACTCAATGAGTAGTCTCATGGAAATCAATGGACTGGTCTAAGTATGAGTAATGTTGGATACCCTCTTTCGGTTTTGGATATTGCATGCATGTTTCGTAGCAAGCATCATCTTGGAAGAAGCATCCCCTTCTCTGTGGCACTAAAGTGAGAATACCTCTTAAGTGGTGCTATAAAAAAAAAACCCGCATGATTGATTGGGGCCCCAGTGAGGCCATAAGTGATATCACAGCACTTTGCAGATAGTTCTACTTAATAACAGAATCAGTTTTACTTCCAAAATTCATTATTACATTGAGTTACAGTTGAAATGGACAACCATTATAAAACATTTTCAAAGTGTATGGCATCTAGTTTCTGTTAGGAGTTTTTTTTTTTGTTTTTAGTTGTGCAGAATTCTTTTGATTGTCTCATTGTATAATGGCTTTTTAATGCAAATATTTAAAAAATAGAATGCTGGTGCATAAATATTGATGAGAAATGCCTTTCTTGAAAGGGGGTATTTGGAAATCAGACCTTTTTTTGTAAGGCGTGTAAAGATGGAAGAGAGCTTACCGAAAGAATGACATCAGAAAATCTCAGAAAATAATTTTGTTTGTGGTTGTCTCATAATTCTGGTCTTGCAATTGTCTCTGAGCAATGGGTCCATTCAAGGTTTAAAAGCAAGGAAGAAAATGTTGTTGGCTATTCTGGTGTCTGAGGCTCATGTGTCAGGGATGGTTTAAGCCAAGGGAGCTATTATTACAGAAATACCTTAAGCAATAATTCTATGACTAATTTTGGTTACGTTTGAAATTATTGTTCTTTGAAGTTAGCTCAAGTAACCCAGTGATCCTATCATCGCACGTTATTTCGTTATTGTAGCCATAACATTCATGTGAAGTTCTCATAGATGACCATTGCATCTTTGCAAGCTGCTAAGACCTGTATGCATTTTGGGGGTTAGGTTTCTCTCCCACCACAGTTGAATAGATCTTCAAGTCCCAACAGCATGAATCAGTATCACTTGTGTTCTCAAGCACTCTTCTTCTAGGGGTGAGAGCACATGACAATTCATGGTGTGATTATTGCAAGATAAGAGCTATGTATGAGCTTCTATGCCCATCAGTTGGTGCTGCTTGCATGTGATGTAGTTAAAATGGATAAAAATTAATGAGTTAAGAATAGCAATAATTAAATATTGTTGCAAGGGCTCCCGCTAGCACAGTTGGGCTTTCCCTCTCCTCCCCCAACGCTCCCTCTCCACCTCCCCCAGATCCGTTCTAGAGAGTCAGGAGAACCCTCAGAACACCACACGGGAGAAGAGGGGTATTGTCTCATCTGACAAGTAAAGATACTTGTGCTGATGGAATGATCAGAAGTGTGGGATTTTGAATTGCTCCCTGTAAGTTTCTCTTTTTAGAAGTAGCCTAGTATAATCAGGGGGATGCGGGTGGCGCTGTGGGTTAAACCACAGAGCCTAGGACTTGCCGATCAGAAGGTCGGCAGTTCGAATCCCCGCGATGGGGTGAGCTCCCATTGCTCACTCCCAGCTCCTGCCAACCTAGCAGTTCGAAAGCACGTCAAGTGCAAGTAGATAAATAGGTACCGCTCCGGCGGGAAGGTAAACGGCATTTCCGTGCGCTGCTCTGGTTCACCAGAAGCGGCTTAGTCATGCTGGTCACATGACTCTGAAGCTGTACACCGGCTCCCTCGGCCAATAAAGCGAGATGAGCGCCGCAACCCCAGAGTCGGTCACGAGTGGACCTAATGGTCAGGGGTCCCATTACCTTTAGTATAATCAGACTAAAAAAAGCATGTTAATCCTACAATTATTGGCTCCATCCAGCTATCAAATCATACCATAGTTTGTTGTGACATGGGCATCCTATGGCGACTCTCATACATTTCTCTTCTTCCTTCCTTTGGGGTGTATGGAGGATTAAGGCTTCCATTGCATTTTGAAACAAACTTTCGCTTCTCATTTCATATGAATATGGAAAATAGGTTTGTATAATATCGCACAATTGAACTCCGGTTTGCTATTTGTGCAAACCACACTCTCCCATGTGCTTCAAAAACTGGGAACTTGCTTGCTTCAAAAAGCAAGAAAGCTTCCATTAGACACATGGGGTAAGGGAGGCTTGAAATGGTGCGTCTGCATTTCCGAAAACACTGGTTTGTTGCCGTTATTATTATTTATTAGATTTCTTCCCTGTTTTTCACCATGAGGTCCCATGATGCATTACAACAATTTAAAAAATACAATATTGAAATAGGTAAAGGTAAAGGTACCCCTGCCCGTACGGGCCAGTCTTGCCAGACTCTAGGGTTGTGCGCCCATCTCACTCTATAGGCTGGGAGCCAGCGCTGTCCGCAGACACTTCCGGGTCACGTGGCCAGCGTGACAAGCTGCATCTGGCGAGCCAGCGCAGCACACGGAACGCCGTTTACCTTCCCGCTGGTAAGCGGTCCCTATTTATCTACTTGCACCCGAAGGTGCTTTCGAACTGCTAGGTTGGCAGGCGCTGGGACCGAACGACAGGAGCGCACCCCGCCGCGGGGATTCGAACCGCCGACCATGCGATCGGCAAGTCCTAGGCACTGAGGCTTTTACCCACAGCGCCACCCGCATCCCCAATATTGAAATAATTTAAAACAAATTA